CACACAATGGAATACTACTCAGACATAAAAAATAATAAAATTTTGCCATTTGCAACAACATGGATGGACTTGGAGGGTATTATCCTAAGTGAAATAGGTCAGACAGTGAAAGACAAATACTGTATGATATCACTTATATGTGGAATCTAAAAAATAAAACAGACTAGTCAATATAACCAAAAAGGAAACAGACTCACAAATATAGAGAACAAACTAGTAGTTACCAGTGGAGAGAGGGAAAGGGGGAGGGGAAATATAGGGGCAGGAGATTAAGAGGTATAAACTATTAGGTATAAAATAAGCTACAAGGATATATTGTACAACACAGGGAATGTAGCCAATATTTTATAAGGACTCTAAATGGATTATAACCTTTAAAAATTGTGAATCACTGCATTGTACACCTGTAACTTATATAATATTGTACATCAAATATACTTCAATAAAAAATAAAAGCAGCCTAGCAGAGAAGAAATACTATTGCAGCTCACTAAGATCTCCTGGTGATCTATTTAGTAAGCAGATCAAATCCAGCAAAAAGACTGACAGACTGGAGAAGCTTGACTTTTAAAGATACTTCCCAACATTCTTATGTAAAGGTGTGGCAAAGAGATAAGGAATAGAATTCCATCTTTATCCGTAAAGAGAAAAGAGAAGGAATCAGTGACAGACCACCAGAGGAGCTGGAAAACTACCTCCTAACTCACTGGTAAGTAAATCCTCTGGAAACTTATGCTGAAGAGAAAACTGGAACTTTGCTGCTTGAACTTTCTCGGTATTATATGGGGTCTTAGGACAATGATGACTGAGCCAATAGAAATTGGGGTAACTCATATAAAATAGATTTGGGTTTCTTGGGAGATAGGTTCACATTTAAATGGAATCATGGACTTACACATCGGAATTGTTGAAGCTTTTCCTGGGCAACATCATTGAGGGGAGCAGAGGGGAAAAAGAAACCTCAGCAGAATGGAGTGGTACCTTTGGAGGAAGACATACTTATTGAGGCTCTCTTGAAAGCTGTGTGGGGAATTCCCTGGTGGTCTAGTGGTTAGCACTCCGAGCTTCCACTGCAGGGGGCATGGAGTCGATTCCTTGTCAGGGAACTAAGATCCTGCATGCCACGTGGCAGGGCCAAAAAAAAAAAAAAAAGCTGTGTGACTTAGAGTCAATGCATCCATTTGCTGAGCCTCTCATCTGTTAGATGGGTGTTATACAATATCATGGAAATGGGAGTATGTGTGTCTGGAGCATAGCTATAGTAGCAGTTTTGTTCATTGACGTCTGTGACTTGTACATTTAAAATATGTGTAAAGTGTGAAGGAGGAGCCTAGTATTGGCTTCTGACTTTTGCAGATTTGGTAGTATTCTTGTATGTGTTAGAAACTTGACCTTGCAAAGATTAGCAAGTACAAAAGTTTGACTTGGTTGGAGTTTTGTGAGGCTTGGCATAGAAGGGTGTAGCCAGTTTGGGAAGGTGGGCAGCTTTTAGAGTTTGGAATTTGGCCTTGGGGAACCATTAAATGCTTGAAGGTGGGAAAGATAATTGATTGGATTATTTAGATACTGGAGAAGGTTTAAAAAATAGCTATCCTCAGATGTGGGTTCTCCCCCACAGCCGGCAGCTGCAGGTAGCTGGAGAGCGTGGGCTGCTTGGGCTGGTCTTGCTTTCATGACCCCTACATCCAGTGGCAGCTCAGTGCTTCCACATGGTCATGCTTGAGT